GAAAAACGATCTGAAGTCACTTCTTAAAGTGCCGTTGTAATTTTGGTCACTAAATGAACAGTTGTAAGTTGAGGATAAATATACTGACGCTTCATTCAGACTGTGTATCAGTGATTGCATGAACTCTGTAGATGCTATATGTTAAATAAAGAGAGTGGGAGGAAGGCTGCTGTGCCCCAAATCTGCCCCCTTGCCCATTGCAGCTGGGGGGGTCGTCCTTCTATTGTATGGGGGTCCCAACCCCCTCCCAGGGCTTCCTCACTTCCATCACCGCCTGCTAATTCCCTCCGGTGCTTTTGAACACAAACACACTTGGCTGAGAGACACCCAGCCCTGCTGAAAGGATGGAGCTTCTAAGCAAACGTGTGTGTGTGTGTGTGTGTATACGGAATCTTCCTTAATTGTTGGGGCAGCAAAGAGAAATTAATGTAGGATATTCAAGGCAGGGGATCTAAAGATTGTCTTATTGCAATTTGTAAATGGAAGGGATCTTAGAGACCCTCTAATTTGGTCTTTCCTAAAGAAGTTGGTGGCTTTAAGACAGGGAGACTTCAATTCCCAGAATTCCCCAGCCAGTGTCTTCAAGATGTGGGGGAGTTCAATTCCCAGAAGAGCTGATAACCCATAGGATGCTTTTTAGATCAGTGTTTTTCAACCCTGACAACTTTGAAGATGTGTGGACTTCAATTCCCAGAATTGTCCCCCAACTGGCTGGGGAATTCTGGGAGTTGAAATCCATATATCCTAAAAGTTGCCAACTTTTGAGAAACACTGCAGTCGGATCCCACCCTCTCAACAGCACCGGAATCCACTCCTCCTAAAACACCTTGAGAGATGGGTTATCCAGCCTCTGGATCCACCATTCTTCCTTTGATTATTTCAGTTTTTACTTTGGTGGCTGCATTTTATATGCTGCTCTTTGGGTATCCAATGCTGGGGGTGGGGGCACATCACTGACAGAGAGGGAGGGGAAATGATTGGTCAGTTCTAACCTGAGCACTGAATTGCAAGCAGAAGTGATGAATGCAGCATCCCTGTGTCTGCTGGAGAAATCTTTGAGGATGTGGTGGCAGTCCAGATGCTCTTGCTTAGTGCAGTGTATGGGGACACACTTGTGAGACCTCAGTGGACTTTTGCATATCGGCTCCTTGCTCTTCAGTCAGTTGCTTTGAATCTTGTTTCACTCCCTTGTCTCTCTGCTGGGCTTTCTGTCCTCAGATGCTCCATATCGCCACACCAACAGGCAGCCCTCGGTCAGACACCAGGGTGTGCTAAAATGGGATTTACTCCTATTAAGTCTCCTCTTGAGTGTGCTTTAAATGGAATGATTCAGTGCGCAGCGTTTGTGAGAGGCTGTTTAAATATAATAGTTGTTAGTGGTATGAAATTGTGAGGGCAAGTGGCTGGCGAACCTTTTCCTCTTGTTTATTTCCTATTTTAGGAATGCAAAGCTTAATTAATCCCCTGGTCAGAAATAGATAGCTAGCTTAGCATGGATGAGTGAGCACCTAATATTTCTCTCGGTTATAAGATTGTGGGTTTTGTTTTGTTTTTTTAACTGAGCTAATTTTTTTTTCTTTGAGAAATCTGAGATCTCTTCATGTTTTATTCTGCATTGCTACTTAAATGTGCAGGCTCTATTTGCAAAGTCTTTTGTAATGTTGTTAAGATTCCTTTATGTTTGATTTGCCATCATGATGCTAACTACCGAAAATGCAGTAGTATTTATAGTTCCTTGGGGCTAAAGTTTCATTTTATTTGTTTTTATTTTTCATTTTATTTATTTTGCTGCTTGGATACCAAGAAAAAATGGCTTTGATCATCTGACAAACTGTTGGGTTCGCATAAGTATATTAATTTTAATAATGTATATGTTCATATCTTGAACTAAAAACACAAACTAGGTTTTATAAGCCACGGTAGCTGTGTTTGACTAAATCAGACTTGAACAATGTTTTGGTTTAGTGTAAAATACTTAGATGCAAATCTATTGATTTAGTGGGATAAAGATAGGATGCTAGTCACAGATTATTTTTTTTATTCAAAAGGCTATGCAATTACGAACTCAAAACTCTAGGAACTATACTTAGATGTCACTTACATTACACACTTTATGGCAGGTGAAGAGTTGTTGGACAGAAGCTTTTTAGATCTTGAAAAAAAAGTTGCATTCTGAATTTTCAATTTTTACTGGATTATATTTTACACCTTCCAGTACATCGTAAAATGTACTTCTGTCAGGTATCAATTAGATCCACTATTGCTTCAGTGAGCTTTTCAACCAGTCTGATGCATCAACAATAAAATTAGTTCATGCCTTTATTAATAATATGTATTTCACGGATTGATGTCATAATCCAGCTTTTTTCCAACCTGTGGCATCCCAAATGTGTTGGATCAATAGATACATTGAACTATTGTTAAATATGTCTAGTGTTTCCCCCCCCCCCTCCAAGCTTGGCAACTTTAAGATGTATGGACTTATAGTCTCAGCATCTTCAATTTCCCCCTTACTGGTGAAGGTTCGTCTTTTGATGTGAAATGCATTCTTCAGGTATATTTTCATGGATTAATTTTCATGTGTTCAATGGCTCATTAAACATGTTCAATTATTGCAATGAAATGCCCGAACGTTTGTATAATTCATCTTCACTGCAGGCAGAAAGACAAAAGCACAGTCCACATAGAAGGAATTAATATCTTAACTCCTTAAATATTTTCATTTTAGGTGCTGCAAAAGGGAAATAGGGTAACCTCAGTCAACCTTAAACGGGATGGCCATGCATCTAACACAGATCTGCAGACTTTGGGGTTTAAGCACGGGTACACGTATGTTAATTAGGCCAAAGTATCTTTTCTGTTCTATAAATAAAAACTGATAGTAATCAAAGGCAGATGTTGGCTTCGGCAGGCACAGATTTGATTTGAGGGTGTGAAGGAATGGGGGGGGGGAAACCATCTCATTTAATACATTTGTATTCTGGCAAGTGAGTTTTAAGGAGGTCAGAGGGACAGGGGCTGGTGTCAAAAGAGAAAAGGGTTTCTAATTCTTCAGTATCCCTTCCAGCAGCTCTGTCTGCCTAATCCTGTGGGCAGCTGCTTCAAAGCACGCGCAAGGTGTGTGTTTCGTTGGGAGCAAAAGCATGGGAGGATATTTACTATGCTGCTCTGCTGCTGAATCCAAGTGACTCATTCATGCAACTGTGGTGCCAGTACAGCGTACAATAAATGCTTTAGATGCAATTAGCGCTCTCTCTCTCTCTCTCTCTCTCTCTCTCTCTCTCTCTTCTGACATGTTTCAGAATTAATATGCCAAGGGAAGATGATCCATTACTTAATTCGCCCCCGTTCAGCCTCTTGAGCCACATGGGTTCTTAGATGCTGCAGATTATGATCGAGATATATTTAAAATATATATTTGATTCTGGAAGTTGGAGTCCACAGGTCTTAAAAGTTGCAAAGGATGGACGCCCTTCACTTAGATCAGGGGTAGGCAACCTTGGCTCTTTTATGGCTCGTGGACCTCAACTCCCAGAATTCCTGAGCCAGCATAGCTGGCTCAGGAATTCTGGGAGTTGAGGTCCACGAGTCATAAAAGAGCCAAGGTTGCCTACCCCTGACTTAGATCATTTAAGGCTGAGAGGGGGTGGTTGATTGCCTTTCCAGGTAGTCCTTGACTTAGAACCTTTCGTTTAGTGACCGTTTGAAGTTACAACAGCACTGAAAAAAGTGATTCGTGACCATTTTTCACACTTGCGATCATCGCAGCGTCCCCGTGGTCACATGATCAACATTCGGACGCTTGGCAACTGGCTCAAATTGATGACGGTTGCAATGTCCTGGGGTCAGGTGATCCCCTTTTGCGACCTTCTGACAAGCAAAGTCAATGTGGGAACTCACTTAACAACTCTGTTACTAATTCAACTAATTACTAATTTAAGAGCCGGGGTGGCGCAGTGGTTAGAGTGCAGTACTGCAGGCTAATTCTGCTGACTGCCGACTGCCAGCAGTTCGATTCTCACCAGCTGAAGGTGGACACAGCCTTCCTTCCTTCCAAGGTCGGTAAAATGAGGACCCAGATTGTTTGGGGGAGCAAGATGCTGACTCTGTAAATTGCTTAGAGAAGGCTGTAAAGCACTGTGAAGGGGTATATAAGTGCTATTGATATATCTATTGATCTATCTATCTATCCATCCATCCATCCATGTATCTATCCTCTATCTGTGTAACTGGTTAGAATGCAGTATTGTAGGCAAACTCTGCCCACAGCCAGGAGTTCGATCCTGACGGGTTCAAGGTTGACTCAGCATTCCATCTTTCCGAGCTCAGTAAAATGAGGACCCAGATTGTTGGTGGCCATATGCTGACTCTATAAACCAGTGATGGCGAACCTTTTAGAGACCGAGTGCCCAAACTGCAACCCAAAACCCACTTATGTATCGTCAGGTGCTGGGTGGGCGTGGCCCATTGGGTGGGCGTGGCTGTGGTGGTAACGGTAGACTGGGTGGGACTAAAAAGTTCAATCAATCAATTCCAACTTTGCGAGATCTTTTTTTTCCAGCGAGAAGTTGAAATTGACTGATTGATTGAACCTTTTTTTTTTTTTGTACACACCAGCGGAGGCCTAAAGCGAAAAGGTTTTATAAAACCCAGCTGAAGACCTAGGACTGGGGCGACAGCGAACGTGCCCACAGAGAGGGCTCTGAGCGCCACCTGTGGCACGCATGGCATAGGTTCGCCACCACGGCTATAAACCGTTTAGAGGGGGCTGTAAATTACTGTGAAGCAGTATATAAGTCTGTGCTACTGCTATTAACTGCAGTGATTCATTTAACAACTGTGGCAAGAAAGGTGGTAAAAACGTGGCAAAGCTCCCTTAATAATTTTCTCCCTTAGCGACAGAAAGTTTGGGCTCAATTCTGATCGTTAAGTCGAGGCCTGTTTGATCCCTTTCCGTCTCTCCGCAGGATTCGTAGCGCTTTCCTGAGCATGAATTCAGAATGAAGCGGCGAGTGGAGGAACAGGAATCGCCCGTCTATGCGTCCCAGCAGAGACGCATCGCCAGCAGCGCCGAACCCTTCCAGCACCAACATCGCGTGCTCGCTCCGGCCCCCCCTGTATATGAATCTGTTTCGGAGACCATGCAATCCGCTACCGGGATCCAGTACTCGGTCACTCCCAGCTACCAGGTAAGAAGAGAGGCTGCCAGGTAAGAGCTGAAGTGACTCCTGGGAGAAGGAGCTGCACAACAGCGAAAAGTGGTGTTTGTTCTTCTGCCCTTGAGAAATTCTTGCGCTCTTAGTCGGAAGCAGACACCTTAGTTACACAATCGATGCGGTTCCCTGAATTCATGCACAGGGGCCATAGCAAGCAAGGAGGCTTGTAGAGATGTAAAAGGGCCTGGACCTTCTAAACCACAACAGTTTGGAAAAGTCTTTCCAACATCCTCAAGATCAGAGGTTTCCAAGCTCGGCAACTTTAAGCCTCGTGGACTTCAATGCTGGCTGGGGAATTCTGGGAGTTGAAGTCCACGAGACTTAAAGTTGCCAGACTTGGAGATCCCTGCTCAAGATAATACACATAGTCCTTGCCTTACAACAGTTTATTTAGTGACCGTTCAAAGTTACAACGGCACCGAAAAAAGTGAGCTATAACCATTTTTTAACATAACCGTTGCAGCATTCCCCCACGGTCATGTGATCAAAATTTGGGGGCTTGGCCGCCGGCTCACATTTACGACGGTTGCAACCTCCCGTGATCCCCTTTTTACGACCTTCCAACCAGCAAAGTCCACAGGGAAGCCAGATTCGCTTAACAACTGTTTGACTAGCTGAACCACTGCACCGATTCACTTAATAGCTGTGGTCAGAAAGGTCGTAAAGCAGAGGCAAAACTCACTGAACAGGTGAGTTAAGTGAGTCATAAGTTGGATTTTTTTTAGACGGTTCCGCTAGTAGCATCACCCAAATTTCTTTTTTTTTTTTTTTGCCTCAACTGAAAGAAGGATGCCTTGCCCTCGTGTGAACGTGGGTGGGGTCCTGCTGGTCCCTAAGCTCCGTGGCTTTTCTTCCCTCCGCCTCACCAGGTGTCCACGGTTCCTCAGAGTTCCAACAGCCATGGACCCACCTTAGCCACCGTCCACAGCGGGCACCACCACCCCACCCCTGTCCAGCCTCACGGGAGCCAAGTGGCGCAGAGCCACGCTCACCCGACTCCGCCAGCAGCGCCAGTCCAGGGGCAGCAGCAGTTCCAGAGGCTGAAGGTGAGTCTGGCCGGAGGGGCCAGGGGCGCGTGAAGCATCTTCAAACTCAACCGTAAAAAGAAATTCCGTGGTTTTTGTGCAGGTGTGTTGAGTTGCGTTTTGATACGTGGCAATTGTGCCTTTTGTTCACAGGTGAACTGTTTGTGCTTTTTTGATGAGTTTGTTTTATCCTTCCTCCCCCCCGCACACATACACACACAAAGCCACCTTGGATATATTTGTTGGTTTATTCATTTATGTGCTCCACTTTTAGATTCTAACCGCTTCATGCTTTTAGGTGGGAAGCCAGTAAAGACACAGCAGCATTGATTCACTCCACTCCTCCTTCCGTCCTCAGTGGTGTAGAAAATGAAATTGCTGCTTTGACTGCTAACAGCTTTGGAAGACTTTGTGTTTAGCTTAACATTTAATCACTTAATCATTTTCCTAAACGCTTTGTGCTGAGCGGTGCAAAAAGCATTAAAGCTTTGGAAGCGAAGTCAGTTCTGAATGCTTTGAAGAGGGTGTATCTCTAGGACAGGGGTAGGCAACCTTGGCTCTTTTATGACTCATGGACTTCAACTCCCATAGCCGGCTCAGGAATTCTGGGAGTTGAAGTCCATGAGTCATAAAAGAGCCAAGGTTTCCTACCCCTGCTCTAGGAGAACAGTAAAATATCTCGGAACCATTCCTTTTAATCTAATAATAGACTTAAATTGAAATTAACCTTTTAAATTTAAGTTTATTACAGCTCATTTCTTTTTTATTAGCCAAACCAATCTTCCTGATCCCACTGAAGTTCAATTCTTTTACTTAAAATTTGTTGGGAACTTACTGCTTCATAAATGTTTTTAGGCCTTTAGTTCAGTTTTGAACATTTAAATAAGGTTCACTTTTATCATTATTCTATCACTAATATCTGGACCAAGTTTACCCTTGAAAGCATGGAGATGAAATGTTGTCGGAAAGGGATGTTTTTAACTTGGGTTATTTTGGCTGCAGGTGGAAGATGCTCTTTCCTACCTTGACCAGGTGAAGTTGCAATTTGGTAGCCAACCTCAAGTCTACAATGACTTCTTGGACATAATGAAGGAGTTTAAATCTCAAAGGTATACAGAATGGCTGCTTGTCTACGTTGGTTTTTATTTTCCTCCATTTGATGGGAATCCAACTGTTAATGGCTTGTTCAATGAACAGTAGTGAACATAAATGTAATCTAATGCATAAAACTTGACCAGTCTTATAATAATTCTGTCTTTTATCCCCAAACACTAATGTCTGCCTAAGTTTTCCTGTCGTTATTTTCCTCTGTGGCGGACTATAGAATCTAGTGGGCTTGTGGCCATAAGGGGATGCATCTGAATACAGCTTGTCTTTACCCATGTCGGAATTTGTGGCAGGTGTCTGACCTCTTTCTTTTCCTTCCTCTGGCTTCCTGCGCAGCATCGACACTCCAGGGGTGATCAGCCGTGTCTCTCAGCTCTTCAAAGGCCACCCAGATTTGATCATGGGTTTCAACACCTTCCTGCCTCCCGGCTACAAAATCGAAGTCCAGACCAACGACATGGTGAACGTCACCACCCCGGGGCAGGTGCACCAAATCCCAGCCCACGGTCTCCAGCCGCAGCCCCAGCCGCAGCCCCAGCACCCGTCTCAACCTTCGGCACAATCTGCTCCCACCCCAGCGCAGCCAGCACCGCAGCCACCACCTGCCAAGATCAGCAAGGTCAGCGCAAGCTAAATAGGCGGGCTTGGCTTAGAAACGGGAAGGAGGGGCTCAAGCCACGAGGGTTTCTGGGCATCGGAGGTGCTGATGAAAGAATAGAATGGAATGGAATATGGAATGGAAAGTAGAATAGAATATAGAATAGAACAGTGGTGGCGAACCTATGGCACGGGTGCCAGAGGCGGCGCTCAGAGCCCTCTCTGTGGGCACGCGCGCCGTCACCCCAGTCCTAGGCCTTCAGCTGGGTTTTATAAAACCTTTTCGCTTTAGGCCTCCGCCGCCATGTGCAAAAAAAAAAAGTTCAATCAGTCAATTTCAACTTCTTGCAGGAAAAAAAAGATCTTGCAAAGTTGGAATTGATTGATTGAACTTTTTAATCCCACCCAGTCTGCCGTTACCACCGCAGCCACGCCCACCCAATGGGCCACACCCAGCCAATGGGCCACACCCACCCGGCACCCGACGATGCATAAGTGGGTTTTGGGTTGCAGTTTGGGCACTCTGCCTCTAAAAGATTCGCCCTCACTGGAATAGAATAACAGAGTTGGAAAGGACCTTGTAGGTCATCTAGTCCAACCCCCTGCCCAAGCAGGAAGTGCTCTTGAAGGACAGGCGAAGACCCTAAGAAATGACATTTAAGGGTGGAGTTTACAAAATAGCTGGGGTGTCAAACTGCTGGCCACAGAAGCCACGTCCACCCCGGCTCCAGCCAGGGGAAAAAGTCACGATATGTTGCAACACGTCATGTGACGTGACGAGTTTGACACCCCTGATTTACAGGAAGTCCTCAGCATACGACCCCGGTTGGAACTAAAATTTCCTTTGCTAAGCAAGGGCGGTTCTGGAGTGAGCCACACCCAATTTTATGATCTTTCCGTTAAGCAGATCACCCTGGTCATTAAGCAAATCCGTCTTCCCCCGTCAGCTTGGTTGTCGGAAGCCAGTTGGGAAGGTCATAAAAGGCTGACCCTGGGATGCCGCAACTGTTGTAAATGCAGGTGGTCCTCGACTTACGATTACAATTGAGGCCCAGATTTCTGTTGCTAAGTGAGACGTTTGCTAAAGTGAATTTTGCCCCGTTTGAGGACACTTTGTTGCCACAGTTGTTAAGCGAATCACTGCACTGGTTAAATCAATAACACGGTCATTAAGTGAACCTGGCTTCCCCCGTGGACTTTGCTGGTCAGAAGGTCGCAAAAGGGGATCAGGTGACACCCCCCCCCCCGGACACTGCGGTCGTCATAATATGAGTCAGTTGCCCAGTGTCCGAATTCTGATCACTTGACTACAGGCCTGCTGCAATGGTCCCAGGTGTGAAAACCAGTCACAAGTCACTTTTTTCAGTGCCAGTTTAACTTCAAGCAGTCACTAAGCAAATTGTTGTAAGTCGAGGATTACCTGTAGATGCCGCTTGCCAAGCGACTTAATTCTGATCACCTGACCCTGGAGGTACTGCGGTGGTCTTACATGTGAGGACCGGTCCTAAGCCAGGTTTGTTTTTTTTAGTGTCCTTGTAACCTCAAATGGATGCTAAGCAGGTGGGTCATAAGTGGGGGACTGCCTGCAGTTACATCCCTCTGGCCCAAAGCCACCCTAACCCTTCAGCTCTGCTTTTCCAGCCCTCCCAGCTACAGGCACACACGCCCACCAGCCAGCAGGCCCCTCCCGTCCCCTACGCGTCGCCTCGCTCTCCGCCGGTCCAGCCCCACACGCCCGTGACAATCTCTCTGGGGACGACCCCGTCCCTGCAGAACAATCAGCCCGTCGAGTTCAATCACGCCATCAACTACGTCAACAAGATCAAGAACCGTTTCCAAGGGCAGCCGGACATTTATAAGGCTTTCTTGGAGATCCTCCACACCTATCAGGTGAGTCAGCCAGCTGCTCCTTCGGAGGTTGCTCTGAAATTGGAGAGCCCTCTGTGTGTGTGTGTGTGTGTGTGTAGCAGAAGAAAGATTTTTTTTTTTTTTGGCAAAGCAGGAGGAGTTTTGTCGATGGGCAGTGGGACAGAGAGTAATGCCTGCATGGCGATAAATAGTTGGAATTTGCTTCTCTGGGTTTGCTGCAAGAGGGAAGCTTTTTCCGTTAAGTGTAAAAGAAACGCTGAAATAGATGAAGGCGGAGCTAAGGAGAGGTGATTGGCCTCTCCGGTGCCTGATTTTTGGTGACAACTTTGGGGCAAAGCACAAACTGCCTCCAATGTCTTTTTCAGCGATTCTTCTTTTGAAATCTCCAGCTGGGGGGGGGGGGTGTCCTCATTTTTTAAAAAATATTTTTTTAAGGCTCAGAGAGCAAAAGTGGACGAGGGGCAGCTGCTTAAAGTTGCGCTCTCTCTCTCTCTCTCTCTCTCTCTCTCTCTCTCTCTCTCTCTCTCTCTCTTTCTTTCTTTCTTTCTTTCTTTCTTTCTTTCTTTCTTTCTTTCCTTGAACCTTCCTCCTCTGTCTCCTAACAGAAAGAGCAGCGAAATGCCAAGGAAGCCGGCGGGAACTACACCCCGGCGTTGACTGAACAGGAGGTCTATGCCCAGGTGGCCCGCCTCTTTAAGAACCAGGAGGACTTGCTCTCCGAATTTGGGCAGTTCTTGCCAGACGCAAACAGCTCGGTTGTGAGTGATCTCTAATCTGACAACTTGCATTGACTTCCAGTTCCCGGCAAACCACCTCCGGGTGAACCCTGGGTGCATTTAGCAGCCCGAGACGCTTGTTTAGTGACCGCTAAAAAAAAAAGAAGAAAAAGAAAGATTGTAAAATTGGGTCGGTCCCATGAGTCGCCCCATTTAGACCATCACGAGTTTATTTTATTCTATTTTAGTATATTGGTAAAATTTATTGGCCCGCTCCTCTTTCCAAAAGGTAACTGGGCGGCTTACAGTCATAAAAGATAGATCTACATTAAAACATAAATAAATTAAAACCAAAGAACGTGGGGAGGGCGGGGCAGAGTAGGGGGGAGGTGGGATCTGTTATTACTCAATCAGCCACTTCCACTGTGCTGTTTCCCCATTGGGCCTCAAGCCAATGGGCAGAGCCAGGTCTTTAGGGCCTTACGAAAGGATAGGAGGGTTGGGGCCAGCCTCACATTGGGGGGGGGGGCTGGATGTTCCAGAGGGCAGGAGCCACAGCAGAGAAGGCCCTCCTCCTGGACCCCAGGGCCATCCGGAATAATCAGGCTGACGGGACCCGCAGCAGGCCGCCTCTATTGGCATATATGGGGCAGGCCATTCCCGGTGGGGTGAGACGGTCCCTCAAGTAACCTGGACCCACAACTGTCATGGGCCAGCTCCTTTACAGTCGTAACTCAAGGGGTATCTGTATATGACCTGAGCAGAATGTGACCCTAGGGTCAAAAATCATTTTTATCTTCGGGTGGCCTGTATTCATAGCCCCTTAAGTGGTTAATTCTTGTGAAACATTTTTACATGTTCTCATCACAACCTTGTTTGTGGTTCTTTCCGATCAGCTTTTGAGCAAGACCACTGCCGAGAAAGTGGAGTCCGTGAGAAACGACCACGGAGGCACCATTAAGAAGCCCCAGCTCAACAGCAAGCAGCAGAGGCCCAATCAGAACGGCTGCCAAATCCGGAGGCACGCCACCACGGGGGTGACCCCACCAGTGAAGGTGAGACCCTCCGTTACCACTTTCACCTCAAGGCTGCAGTTGGTGGCAATTGCACAGTACTTGGCCACGCACGCTTAGCAAATAAAAACAATATACTACATGCTAATGTTCCATCCTGATTTTCTCCCAATAATAATATAGTGCTTTAATTTTAGGAACTAGTTAAGAACACCTAAGGGATCTTTAATGCTATAAAACTATATTTTCTACAGCACTTTTCCATTTTACTGATGTTATTGAGTTAAGAATTTCAGTGGGATAGACTGTACTACATGAGGCACACCAGAAACTTAATTTCTTAATAGTTCAGGTCTGGTCCGGCCCCTGGAAAAGGAAATGAAAAAAAGTTGTAACCCTGAGTCAATTAGGGAACTACTGATCTACAACCGCAGTTTCTTTTTAGGTCCATGTTTAGACTGCCTGGATAATAATTAAATTTAAATTGATTACTTAATTATTCCATATTTCCCAAGGAAAAGGTGCAGAGAACTATAACCCCTGTCATTCAAATTTTGCGTCCCTTAATTCAGGGGTCTCCAACCGTGGCAACTTTACAACTTGTGGACTTCAACTCCCAGAATTCCTCTGCTGGCACAGCTTTATAGCTTGCCTTAATTAACAAACTCTTGTCCTATCAAAGTGGTATTGATAACTGTGCAGTTATTCCTCTCCTGTTGTTTAACTACACGGTAGCTCAGCAAATTTAAAATGTGTTGTGGTAGATGTCACTTATTTATTCTTTTTTGGGGGGGGGGGTTGTTTGGGTGCTCTCTCTCTCTCCAGAAGAAACCAAAGCTTAATTTGAAGGACCCATCCTTTGCAGAAGCTGGCAAACATGGGACAGAGTCTCTGTTCTTTGACAAGGTAAGAGCGCGGATAAAACCCCTTCGCCTTGCTTAGTAAAGGAAATTCTTATCTCAATTGTTGTAAGTCGAGCATTATTTGTAAGACAGAAGTTGAGTTGATTTTTTATGTCATTTTTCAGCTGTTCAATGGTTACTGCATCTGGGGGGGTTATCTGGGGTCCACAAGGGATTATAGTTTGGGTCGTGATGCATTCCTCCTTGCCCTTTGGCTCTCCCTGGAATAAATAGACCCATTTCCCAGCCCCACCTACGTCGTGACTGTTGGTTGATGAGCTTAGAATTGTGCTAATAGGAGAGGATTGAATTGTTCCTTTGCGGGAGAGGCTCATCATCTCTTTTCCCACTTTCTCGTCCTTCTTTTTCTCTTCCGATCCCACCGTTCAGGTCCGCAAGGCACTGCGCAGCACAGAGGCCTACGAGAATTTCCTCCGCTGCCTCGTCATTTTCAATCAGGAGGTCATTTCCCGAGCTGAGCTCGTACAGCTGGTTTCTCCATTTCTGGGGTAAGCGGACTTAACTGACTGGCCCTTTAGTGTGCTCCCTTGTGGGACAGACGACATACAGCGAAGAACTGAAAATAAGCTGCCTAAAGTTGCTTGGATAGTGAAATGGTAAATTTAATAAATAAATAATACATAAAGTAACAGGCAGAGAGCATCATGCTTGTTCCCTCTGCCAGCCAGCTCAGAGTTCAAGGAGTAGAGATATTTCTTTCCCAATTGTTGGCAAAGCCTGTGGTACCAGGACAGCAAATTTCACCACAGAAGGTGAAGGGAGGAATGTTTTAAATAGGCAGCAGTTGCATCTTTCCCTGTATAAGATCCTTAACAGCCCATTAAAAGTTTAAATCTTACTAAGAAGCGTAAAAAATCTCTCTGCCACAGCAACGCTAAGCTAGCGTATTCTATCTGCATTGGTTTTCATTTCGTTCTTTTTCAGAAAATTCCCCGAGTTGTTCACTTGGTTTAAAAACTTCCTGGGCTACAAAGAATCCGCACATCTGGAGAGCTTCCCGAAGGAGCGAGCTACCGAGGGGATAGCGATGGAGATAGACTATGCTTCGTGCAAACGGCTGGGCTCCAGCTACCGAGCCTTGCCTAAAAGTTACCAGCAGCCCAAATGCACAGGCCGGACACCGTTGTGCAGGGAGGTAAGCTGGCCATCTTCCCCCCCCCTTTGAGGATGGGGATGCTGCTGAAACCTAGCAAGAGTGACATGGCCTCCAGGGATTCTTCCCCCCTCCCCCCCCCAAATAATTACAGGTAATCCTTGGTTTATGACAGCCATTGGGACTGGAATTGCTGTAACTAAGCAACACAGTTGCTTAGTTACAGCATTTGACCATGCTGCTTAGCATAGCAGTTACAGCAGTCCTGGTGATGTAGTTAAGCAAGGAGCTCGCTTGACTTGAGACTTCTGATTTCCTGCCGTCTTCCCCATTGACTTTGTAGGAAGCCGGCAGGGAGTGTCAGAAATTGTGATCATGTGATCGCAGGACACTTCAGTGGCCAGGTCCCCTCGTTCAGCTCCGTTGTAAGTTTAAATGGTCGCTGAACAAATGGTCATTAGCTGAGGACTCCCTGTATGGATATTACCACTTGGCCTTTTTCATGTATCTCATGGGCTCCATTGCTAAGCTGAGTGGAACCGATGAAAGGAAGAGCCAAGAGTCTGAAACTTACCCAGGGAAGATGTGGAGAAGACCAGCAGGATACCCAAGAGACTTAAAAATGACCAGTGAAAAGGATTAAATCTCTCCATGAATGTGAAGTTCCTTCCGTGGGGGATACCCATAACATGAGGTCTTTATTGAATGCATTGTAAGGTTGGGCTTAAAATTCACTTTTTAAAGCCTGGCCCACTATGGCAGGGGTCCCCAACCCCTGGTCCGTGGACCAGTACCAGCCCACAGTATGCCAGCAACCAATTCACACAAACAAGCAAAACCCCATCCGTGGGATGCAGGCAGCACACAAAACCACGCACTTTCCAGTCCGTGGAAAAACCTTTCTCCACGGAGCCGGTCCCTGGTGCCCAAAAGGTTGGGGACCTCTGCACTACGGGATGTGCTAATAGTATTCCTGCAGTATCTCAGGAAGCAGCAATCCTTTTTTTCACCCGCAAGGGGGCGCCCTTGTAGAACAGACCATTCCCTTGTGATATTTCCTGATGGTTTTCAGACCTAGCCGGAGACGGAGTCAGGAATGTCCTCTCTGCAGTCCGATCAGCCTTTTTCCATATAGCTGCCAGAATAACGTTTTATCTTGTTGGCACTAACCCTCTTTCTTTCTTTCTCCGCTGCTCAGGTTTTGAACGACACCTGGGTCTCCTTCCCATCCTGGTCCGAAGATTCCACGTTTGTGAGCTCAAAGAAGACTCAGTACGAAGAGCACATCTACCGATGCGAGGACGAACGGTTTGAAGTAGGTCAAAGGGGCCTTAAATTTCCCGGTACGGTTATCAGGGACTCATCTCAGATGGCAAATAAAAGTATTAACAACTGGAAGAATTGGCATCAGGCGGCATTTCCCGATTTTGACAGCTCCCGGCTACAAGCAGTCCTTGGATTAGCGACCACAGTCGAGCACAAATTTCTGCCGCTAAGCCAGACAGTCCTTAAGTGAATTTGGCCCCATCGGATGACTTTCCTCGCCAAGTGAATCACCGCACCTGTTAAGTCGGTCACACGGTCGTTAAGCCAACCTGGCTGCTTCCCCATGGACTTTTGCTTGTCATGAGGTCAAAAAAGGGATCACGTGACACACACACCCCTCCCCGGGGACACTGCGGCCCCTCGTAAATAGGAGTATTGTCAAGCCTCTGAACTTTGGTCACGTGACCAGGGAGAGGCCGCAGTGGTCGTAAGTGTGGGGAAATGGGCATCAGTCACTTTTCCCAGGGACAGTCATAAAATGAAAGGTGGTAAATCAAGGACTCTCCCTGTATATTTGAAATCAAATCCCACTTGGGAAGTTGAAATGCAGCCTTTTCCTGCGATGCTGTGGAATTTTCCCAATTCAGATGGTTAGCTTGCGTTATGAGCTCACTTTCTTAGCCTGGCTAATTGAGCTTTTTTTTTTTTTTCCCCTTTCTCAGCTGGATGTGGTCTTGGAGACCAACCTAGCCACCATCCGGGTCTTGGAAACGATACAGAAGAAACTCTCCCGCTTATCGGCGGAAGAGCAAGCCAAATACCGTCTCGACAACACCTTGGGGGGCTCGTCCGAAGTCATCCACCGCAAAGCTCTGCAGAGGATATACGCGGACAAAGCTGCCGACATCATCGATGGCCTTCGGAAAAATCCAGCCGTCGCCGTCCCCATTGTGTTGAAAAGGTATCCATCCGGTCATCGGGGAAGCAAAGACGAACGTTCGAACCGAACGAAAATGAACGTTGAAAGGTTGCAGGGTCAAAAGAAAAACGCTAGGCGAGCGTTGACGTCCTTCTGAGGTCTGGAATCATCTATGGTGACCTGTCGCATCTCAGCTCTTGGGGTTGAGGAGGTAGATGTAGGATGGGGTGATCCTCAGGACATCCACAGTCAAAGCTAAAGATGCCTTTCAAAGTTGAGAAAGACTAAGAGCCATTACATCTGGCCAAGCACATGTAATTTATCATCTAGCCATGATTAGCCATCTGATCCCAGAGGAACTGAGATTTCCTAACTATCCCAAAGCAAAGTTGTCTCTAAAACCAGTGTTTCTTAACCTTGGGTGGACTTCAACCTACGTCTACGTGTCTTAAAGTTGGCAGGTTGAAAAACACTGATCTAAACCATGGCTTGATAACTGAGAAGGCCAGCATTGGCTGGTTTTTTTTCAACCTGGGATCTTCAGCTACGTCAGCCTGGCTGGTTGAGAACAAGATAAATTGCAATATTTACACATCTGGCTGGTGCCAGGTTCACAAAGCTGGATTTTAGGCACATCTGTTGGGCCCTGCCCCCTTTTTTTGTAGATCTCAGAAGCCCGAACTCACAGGTGAATCTCACAACTCACCTGGGAGAATTCCGTTAAAGTTTCTCCTTTGAAGTTCAACCCTATTGGGATTCAGTTTATACTGGAAACAGCCGTTCCGATGCAGGGAAGGAATGGGAAGAGTGGGGGAGGGGAAAGTTAGGTAGAAATGAGCTTCAGTTACCCAGGAAAGGAGACCATGAGAACGTGGATGGTTTTATATTGCCAGAGTTTTCACCCACATCTGTCAGGAGGAATCTGATCAAGCCACCAAATGTCCTAAACCAGGGGTGGGGAACCTTGGCTCTTTTATGACTTGTGGACTTCAACTCCCAGAACTCCTGAGCCAGCATGGCTGGTTCAGGAGTTCTGGGAGTTGAAGTCCACAAGTTATAAAAGAGCCATAGTTCCCCCATGCTGGCTCAGGAATTCTGGGAGTTGAAGTCCACAAGTCATAAAAGGGCCAAGGTCCTAAACAAAGATGTCTCTCACACCCCCTCTTTATTTTGTCTTCCGGCCTAGGTTGAAAATGAAAGAAGAGGAATGGCGGGAAGCCCAGAGGGGATTCAACAAAGTGTGGCGGGAACAGAACGAGAAATACTATTTGAAATCCCTGGATCATCAGGGCATCAACTTCAAGCAGAACGACACCAAGGTCCTGCGATCCAAGAGTCTTCTGAGTGAGATTGAGACCATTTATGACGAGGTATGTTTGAGGTTCCTTTCTCTGCCTTCACTCGGGCCATTCACTTCGAGTCCGGTTCGGTTTCTCCCTGACCACTTGCGGAGAAGAAGAAAGTAGTCGGTGTTCCTAAGACTTCAGAATTCGTTGGAGGGGCTCCAGGCGTCTGCTTTTTGAAGGCTTTGTACTTCATAAATTCAGTAGAATTTCCTTATGAGATTGAATGGTAGCTTCCGTTTTCTTCTTTCCATTCCTTCGTGCTTCCAAAAGAAACTGGAATGACATTACTGGCCCTTGGCTGATAAATCTGTTACTGAAAGGTGCCCAACCTTAGTTCTTCTCCAGAAAGGGCCTCTTTCTGTCCTATTCCCATTTGCTACAGGCAGATGAAGGTGTCCGTGCTTCAAGAGTTGAGAATAGTGGGGCACAAAAAGCCAGAGGTCCCCAACCTTTTGGGTACCAGGGACCGGTTCTGTGGAGAAAGGTTTTTCCACGGACCGGAGAGTGTGTGGTTTTGTGTGCTACCTGCTTCTCGTAGATGGGGCTTTGCTTGTTTGTGCGGACCGGTTGTTGGCATACTGTGACCCGGTATCGGTCCATGGACCGGGGGTTGGGGACCCCTGCAGTAAGCCACAGTTTATGGAAGAAACGGGGATCTTGTTTTCTCTTAAATCACCACTGCAGTGATCTAAGCAGTTCCGCTGTTCCATAACATTTCTCTCTGATCCGAATAGAGATCTGGTCTGGAATTGATAAGGGCGTGTTTCAGACTTGAGGGATCTAGTGTCGTGAGATGTTGGATCTTTTTTTCTGCTCAGTAAAGGACATCAGTCATTCCAAGATCTAGCAAGGATCCTTTAAGGACCCACCTCACTTTACATCTTAAGAAGACAGAACTCTTGGAATGTCTCTTCCAACAGGCATCTTTATAAAGTGTTCCCAAGTAGCCCCCACCCCACAGTTCTTCCGGGCGACAATCACTCATCCTCTCTTCTCCCAGATCCCAGGCGTTGCATTGTTCCCCCCTTTTCCCTCACTGCCGGCAAAAGGGAGACTTCAGAGAGAGTAGATGAAAGGCGATGGTCATATTGTTATGGTCAGTCCTCTTGATGAGAATCAACATCCAGTCACTTTGTAGTTTAATGAAGGAAGTGTGAGCCATAAAACCCCCCTGCTCATCCTCCTCCCCTTTCGTAGTATGACAGAATCCAGAGAGAGTAAGAAATGGGTTTTTATCAGAGTAGGTAGCTAGAAATGAAATATAATTGGATTCTGACGGATCCTCTGGTGTCCATTCTTTGCTATAGAGCCTGGTGTTGGTTGAAGGATTTCATAATTTGTTGTAGCTCCTTTTGGTCATTGTTGAATCCCACCAATTTTTCCTTCAACGTTGACTTTTCAAAGAAGAGTCGTGAGAATGTTGAAGAACATCCAGGGGAAACGGTGCTCAGGTTGTCCTTTTGCTTTGGGGCAATTGAGGGAAGCAGCAGAAGCTAGCAGAGAGAAGGTGTCCTTCCTCTCCATCAGCAGGAATTTGTAGCAGGAGAGAGAGGGAGGGAGAGGGGGAGAGAGAGACTTACTTGAAAAGCAACAGGGAGGATGCGTTCGCTTACTTTTATGCTATTAAATGTGAATTAATTAATGACTTGAGAATTATGTCAGATTTATCCCAAAGGTGCTTTTTCACGAGGCAACTGGACTTCCTTGTTTTTCTTTGAAGACGTTTCGCTTCTCCTCCAAGAAGCTTCTTCAGTCAGAGCTGAAGAAGCTTCTTGGAGGAGAAGCGAAACGTCTTCAAAGAGAAACGAGATGACCTGGATGACTGAGAATCTCCATAGATATTCCAGCCTTGTTTGTTTCCTGGGTTTTTCAGAGGCAAGAGCAAACATCTGAAGACAACACCGGCCCTCACCTGTCCCTGGCTTACGAGGACAAGCAGATTCTGGAAGACGCAGCCTCCCTGATCATCCACCACGTGAAGCGTCAGACGGGCATCCAGAAAGAGGACAAGTACAAAATCAAGCAGATCATGTACCACTTCATCCCGGACCTCCTCTTCGCTCAGCGAGGGGAGCTCTCCGACCTGGAGGAGGAGGAAGAGGAGGAGATGGACGTGGACGAGAACTCAGGGGCGGTGAAGAAGCACAACGGGGTGGGGGGCAACTCCCCCAAAGCCAAGCTGCTCTTCAGCAGCACCGCAGCTCAGAAGCTGCGCAGCCTGGACGAGGCCTACAACCTCTTCTACGTCAACAACAACTGGTACATCTTCCTGCGCCTCCATCAGATCCTGTGCCTGCGGCTGTTGCGAATCTACAGCCAGGCGGAGCGGCAGATCGAGGTGGACAGCCGGGAGCGGGAGTGGGAGCGGGAAGTGCTGGGCGTGAAGCGAGAGAAGAGCGACACTCCAGCCATCCAGCTGCGCTTGAAAGACCCCAGTGAGTGGCTCTCCGGAGCGGGGAGACGCTGGCCGGCCGTGGGGGAGGCCAGCGCAGGTGTGCTCTCAGCGCTGCCCAGGTTTGGTCCTTTGGTTAAGGAAGACCCTCGGCTCCCTCTGCGGCCGAAAACTTGACGCTTTTACTAAAAGCCAAGCGCTCTACTGTGATCTGCGTGGCTTTTAGTAAAAGCACAGGCAGTCCTTGACTTACGACCACATTGTCTTACGACCCAAAATGTCTGTGGTTAAATGGAGTTTGCCCCCATTTTACGACTGTTCTGACCACAGTTGTTAAGTGAAATTGGCTTCCCCGTTGACTCTGCTTGCCTAACTGGCAGGGCTGGCGCTTCCCTTGCAAGTCCTTCTAATGGCTTTGTTCTGCCCCTCTCTCCCACTTCTGCCCCCTCCCCCCCACCCCAATTTTAGTGGACATCGAAGTGGAAGACTACTACCCTGCTTTCCTGGACATGGTGCGGAATCTCCTAGACGGCAACATGGATTCCTCCCAGTACGAGGACTCGCTGCGCGACATGTTCACCATTCACGCCTACATTGCCTTCACCATGGACAAGCTCATCCAGAGTATTGTCAGACAGGTGATTCAGAGGGGGGGAGAGGAGAGGGAAAGGAGGGAGAGGGGAGGGGAAAGAGGGGGAATAGGGAGAGAGAGGGAAAGAGGGAGAGGTGTGTGAGTATGTGTGTACAGTAGTTGAAAAAGAGAAGGGGGAAAGTAGTGCCAGAGATGGCTGCTTATCGCCTGTATAAATCTACAACTTCAAAAGTTGACGTGGCCCCAGCAAGAAGCCGGGAGTCTCCATGGCTTCAAGGATCTTTAAGGGGTCAGACCGGGGCAGGACAAAGCCTCTGCTCAGCTTCCTGCCCTGGTGGCCCCGGGGGGGGGGGGGAGAGGTGAGAAGTTCAGCCGTTGGAGCTGTTTTTGCCCAGACCTGTGGCCTGCTGGCACGGCTGGCCTGAGGCGCAGCATCTGTACGGCTGAGGGAAAGCTGCACCTGGTGCTTGAGCTTCCAAAAAAAGCATCTTAATGTTCTTTCTCCTCCCTCCCCTTTCTCTCTCTCTCTCTCTCTCTCTCTCTCTCTCTCTTTAAATTTTCAGCTCCAGCACATAGTGAGTGATGAAATCTGCGTGCAGGTGACCGAGCTCTACTTGTCGGAGAGCCACAACGGTGCGACGGGAGGGCTGCTGACCTCACAGTCCTCTCGCTCCCTGGTGGAAACGGCCTATCAGCGCAAAGCCGAGCAGTTGATGCAGGATGAGAACTGTTTCAAGGTAAGCAGGGTTGTTGGGCAAGAGGGTTGCTTTTTAGAAGGGGGTGGGTGGGTGGGTGGGTTGGTCTTTTTCCTGCAAATGTGCAAAGATGCATTTAATGTTCCCAAAGTCCGGTTATTTCATGCTGTCTGTAGAGATGCAACTTTCGGGGCTGCATCAATAAAAGAGATATCAAAGGTTTCCTGGGCAACTTCAACTGCAATCAGACTTGTCTCGAGCAATTACAGAGTGCCAGATTTTTGTGGAAACTTGCACGCTTCGTCAAAGGCAGGATTTGGGTGCAAGGTGGGGTGATTTTGATCAATTTTTCTTTTCACCGGTGGAAATATGACTCAAGGTTGCTCGGATGATTTATGACTGGCAGAAGCTGGGAGAAATCTGCCATTCCTCCTACTTTTGATGTGCCATTTTTCCTGGAAGCTTTTCAGCTTCCCCTTCCCAGTGAACAAACCCTCTTCTCTCCCCCCCCCCCCCATCAATCTGAGCTTCTCAACACACAAAAACGCTCATCCTACAACTTTTCTCTTGGCTTTATTAAGCTGACAATCTGTTCTTTGCTTTTATTGTGGGTTATGACTTATGCCAAAATCCTTCAGGGTGAAATACTGCAACTGTCTCTTGACGGAAGCTGCGTGCCAGCGATAAAATTCATGGCTGCTTGGGGGCAATCCTGACTTCTGGCTGCCTTTTCAAACCGAACCCTTGGCTAATCTGAAGCGTTGCCTGTTTTCGTAGTGCCCTGTCCAAACAAAGCCAGCTTGTGATTCACATCACTGATTTTGGGGAGCCTGTTTTGTTTTTTTTGTTTTTTTTTTATTATTATTATTATTATTATTATTATTATTATTATTATTATTATTATTATTATTATTATTATTATTATTATTATTATTATTATTATTATTATTATTTCCAACGACCATTTGGCCAGCAATTTTGAGTCTCTGTGTTTTGTTGGGTAGATGATGTTCGTTCAGAGCCGAGGCCACGTTCAGTTAACCATTGAACTGCTGGATACAGAAGAGGAGAACTCTGACGATCCTGTTGAGGCGGAGGTAAAAGTGGGCTGTGGTCAGTTAGCAGCTTTACAGTGTTTTTGTGCCCAGTCACACAAGTGTTTTTAAAAATGAAAAGCCCAACCCAGATGGGATGACTTTGAGAGTCGGGAAGAAGAGCTACAGACTAGCCCCCAGAAGGAAAAGGGGCATGGGAAGCATCTCAAAAAGGATCTTCTCAAATTTTGTGGAAAGTAAAAAGAAAGAAAGGGGGAAAATGCTTTCAGACTTGCAAGGTTCTGTTCCTGTAACTTTGCAATAAAGGTGGTATTAGAATTTCTCATACAGTAGAAAAGCTCTTTTTTCCCCCTCCCCTTTAGGAGTTGACTAACCGTCTCTTGGTTCCCTTTTCAGCGTTGGACAGATTACGTGGATCGCTATGTCAACTCTGACTCCACGTCTCCGGAACTGCGGGAACAGCTGGCCCAGAAGCCAGTGTTTCTGCCCAGGTGAGAGAACAGAGCCCATCCTCCACCCGTACCGAAAGCACCCATGCGCTGTTTTGAGGCATGCTCTGCTGGGCTGGGGAGGGAAGGGGGAAATGGTGGAGTCCCTGGTGATTTTTGAGCATGGTGGAAGGTTGTCTGGATTCCCAGGAGGGAGAGGCTGCAAGGAGGAGGAGCAAGGGATAACACAGTTTAGATACTTTGTGTCTGAGAAAGAGGGTGAAGACGGCTCCTCCTCAAGAGTTCCCAGAGACTAGGGTTTTTGGTGCAGAGATTCAGTTTGGCCAGATTTCTGTCTTGGGGGTGAAGAGTAATAAAGGAAACTGCTTAGAAGAACCTCAGCGTGTCTGTCTTGGTTTTGGGAACCTGAGCCCAAGCCTGGTGGTTCTCCCGCAGGCCTTTAGATAACCTCTTCGGCATTAACGAAACTTCTGCAGTAAAACCACCAATCTCAGAGAGCGCCAAGGACCCCACAGCTCAGCCCTGAGCTACAGGGATTCTTTGCTTTCGTCGTGGGGGGCGCAACCGGTCGCTCAGGGGCTCAAGGTGGCATCCACGTGCCCCCAGGTTCCGGACGGCCCTCTGTCTTCCGTGAGCCGAGCCTTCCGCCCTTGACCCCCTCCAGCAGAAGCAGCAGAGGGGTGGGTTTTCAGGCAGGCCCTAATTCCAGCGGGGGCTCTCCGCTTCTCAGGAACCTGCGGCAGATCCGTAAGTGCCAGAGAGGTCGGGAGCAGCAGGAGAAGGATGGCAAAGAGGTGCTGGGCAAGAAGCCCCTGGAGAACGTGGAGAGTTTGGACAAGCTGGAGTGCAAGTTCAAGCTGAACTCCTACAAGATGGTCTACGTGATCAAGTCGGAAGATTACATGTACCGGAGGACGGCCCTGCTGCGCGCCCATCAGGTGGGCCCAGGAGGAGGAAGCCAGCGAGCCTGGTCCTCTTGGGGGGGGGGCGTGTGCATCTAGGGAAGGTGGTCGTTTGGGGGGGGAGGCTGGAGGTGGGGAAGGACCATTGGATGGGGCTGCCGCGCGTAGCGCTCAAGCCAAGCTGCACACGAGAGCAGGGTGGGGGGGGTGTCCACCGCTTGCCCTTTACTCTTCTCCCACATACCTTTTTTTAAGGAGGGGGGGGCTCCTTGGAATTTGAAGTCACGCCGTTCCCATTTTAGGCCTCATGCAAGCGCTGCCCCAGGTTTTTTGTCTTAAAATGCAAGGTGGAGGGAGATGGATGGATGGATGAGCGGGAATAGGGACACCCTCCCCAAGTTAGGATCTGATCCATGCCTGACCGCTTGCAGCCCCGTGAGGGTATCCATCCGGGGGGGGTATTTTTCCAAGATGGCCACCCTAACTCCCTCCCTCCCTCCCTCCCCCCCCGCAGTCCCACGAGCGAGTCAGCAAGAGGCTGCACCAGCGTTTCCAGGCCTGGGTGGATCGGTGGACGAAAGAGCACGTCACCTGCGAGATGGCGGCCGAGACCAGCCAGTGGCTCATGGGGGAAGCCCTGGAGGGCCTGCTGCCCTGCACCACCACCTGCGAGGCCGAGGACTTGCATTTTGTCAGCATCAACAAATACCGCGTGAAGTACAGCGCAACCTGTAAGACGCCCTAAACGCCAGGAAGGGGGGCAAAGAGGGAAACCGAAACGTGTTTGGTTGGAGGGGAGGGCAGGAGCGCAACCCCCTCCCCTCCCTTCCGTGGGAGGGCGTGCGGCGCGGGGCAAACAAAAGAGGGACGGCTTCCTCTTTTCCCGCTTCCCCCTCCTCCGCGCGGCTCTGCAACCCGCCACTTCCCGCGACTCTCTCCGACCGGAGATGTCCCCGGGCCTGTTTTCCCATCAGTCTTGTGGAACCGAAGCCGGTCCAGCAGCCAGGAGCGCTGACGTCTGGCCCGCCGGCACGGGAGGTCCGGGAGTCGCCCGAGGGAGACGCACCTGGCCTCTGTCGTCCACCAGCAGCAGCAGCAGCAGCCCTGATCCTTTGGGGGCTTGCAGTAGCTTGGCGAGACTTGGTGCGTGGCATATACCCCCCCTCCCTTTCTGCTCTCCTCCCCATCTCTCCCCCCCCCTGCCTGCCTGCCTCCCTCCCGAAAGACGCGAGGTTTAAGGCCAGAATCTTTGAAGGAGCGCCAGAAGTGCTGCGTCCCTCGTCTCCACGGGACTCGGCGGCAGACTTTTCGCCAAACTTTTTGCCACTTCCCGAGTTCTGCAGACCAAGCGGGGTGGGTGGGTCAGACCCATCGACGTCTGGGGGGTCTGCCGTTTCGACTTTTCCTTCTCATCCATTGCGTTCCTGTGACTGGGACTCGTCTGACGTCCCTAAACCGATTTAAGATCAGTCTGTTCTTTCTAGTGCCAGTGGAACTATCGTTTTATTTGGGTTTTATTATTATTATGATGATGATGATGATGACTATTATTACGTTTTGTACCTGCTTGTTTACTAGGCTCTTAGTGCCATGCACCAGCTGTCCACACAAACACACTCTTTCTCTCTCCCTCTCTCTTTCTCTCTCCTTCTCCCTCTCTCTCTCTTTCTCTCTCTTTCTCTCTCTCTCTCTCTCTCTCTCTCTCTCTCTCTTTCTCACACACACACACACAGACACACACACAAAAACTGCTCAGTCACACATGCACGCTTTGACAATAGCAGCCACAACCAATTTTAAACCGGTTCTTTCTCCTCCGCTCCCCCTTCCTGGTTCTTTTTTTTTTTTTTGTAAATAAATGTATATATTTGTCGATTTTTTTTTAATTAAAAGAATAAGTGTGCTTAATGTGCTAGTACAACTCTTACTAGCCTTTTTTGAGTTACCAGATGGTTTCAGGGTTTATAGTATTATACAGGCGAAGGCGGCAAAGTCATTTTATTACACTTTCTACCAAAGGGAGTTTTCATTGTAATGCTTTGTGTGAAGGTTGTTTCTCTTTTTTTTTCTTTTTTTGTAAAAATAAATGAAACACCCACCCACCATCACCCCACAAAAATAATAATAATAATAATAAATGAACGATAAGGAGAAGGATCTTAGTTCTTCCTGGGAAAGAGAGACAGGGCTTGCCTACCGGGTCTTCCAGCCCAGCCAATTCACACTTTGGGGAAACTGAGGCTGGGCTCCCTTGTTGAGGACGATGGCGCTTTTTTGTGCAGATTTCTCTGCAGCGTTTGGGAAAATAAAACGCTGTAAGTAACAAGCCAGCATTTAACAGACCTGCATCCCTCTGCCCATCTGGGTGGAGACAGGTCCAGAAATATTTAAAGAGGTTGAGATGAAGGATGGGACTTCAGGTTTTGAAGTGGGTCTTCACAAAACTACCCTGGGAGCTTGTGAGCAGCCATAAGGTTGGTGGCTTTGTGCTTTTCAAAAAGGTGGGCTTCCCTGCACATGGGGTGTTGGTTTTTGCTTGTGCAAACACACACACACACACACACACACAAGCATGCACATTCAGTCCAGCAGTCTCAGAACAGTCTTGTGATGGTCCAAGGCAAGGAGACGGAAAGGAGGAAAAACACTTGCAGGAATTCTCTCAATGCTACTGGAAAGGGGGGAGGGAAAAGGTGGAGTTGGTAGGGCAGGGAGGGGAAAACGCCCCAGGGAAGAAGACAACACAGCAACACAGCAGCAGCAGCAGCTCCTCCGAGCCAGAACCCAATAAGCAAAATCTTGAGTATGCCAGCAATAAACTAACCTCCCCCCACCCCCACGCTCTCGCCCTCTGCCCTGTTAATAAGAGAGCTTGGGAAGGGGCTGGGGGGGGATTGGCAGGGGTCATTGCGGTGTGCCCTGCTCAGCTTGTGTGCTTCTTCCCTCTGCTCCACTCTCAGAATCATCTCTGGAGCTTCTGTCCCTCCACTTCCTGGCGGGCCTTCCAAACGAGAAGGTCTTGGGCAAACAGCTTCTGCTCTGGTTTTCTTCCATGAATTTTGCCCAAGATTCTTCTTGAGCCAGGCAGAAAAATGGCGATTCCCAGGTGTGGGAGGGGACAGAATCGCCTTCAACCGTACCAAACCCCCCCCCTCCCGATCTCTCTCTAGTGGGGTTTCCCAATGTTGCTCTTCTCTCTTCCCCCCTCCCCTGTTCCCATCATCCTGGTGTCTAACATCTAAGATGCAAGGTCCAATCCTGGCCTGTGCCAACAGCAACACAAGGTGTTCCTTCTGATTTTAAAATGGCTTTCGTATTCTATAATGTGCTTCTTCTTCTTTCTTCTTCTTCTTCTTCTTCTTCTTCTTCTTCTTCTTCTTCTTCTTCTTCTTCTTCTTCTTCTTCTTCTTCTTCTTCTTCTTCTTCTTCTTCTTCTACTTCTTCTTCTACTTCTACTTCCTCTTCCCTTCCTTTTCCCTCTTATCCTTTTCTTTTTCTTCTCTTCTCCTTTTTTTGCCACCTAATTCATGTGATGATTTCTATACAGATGTTGTAAACTTGACTGTAGTGCAGTATGTCCATTAAACTATCAGGGCTACTTGTGTGCCAATGTGGGTTGTCCTTCCTGATCACTCCTGGTCAGCCACAAAGGATCAGGGCTGTCTTCACAGGTGGTATCTCCAAAGACACCTAGTCAGATCTCTCCATTCTGATGTGGCGTCTCTGGTGTGTGCAGAAGGTTGGCATCAGCCCGCATTCCCCCCAGGGTTCAAAAGCTACGGTAGATTTTGCAAAGAATGGTGGAAGTGCTGGTTCAAGTTTCTCTGCTGCTGAGATAGAGGCTCGCTTATTTCTTCAATTTGTTGATGTTGTTAGGGCCGTCCACCCCAACAGGTTCTGTTGTTGTTTTTTCCCCCGCCTCCAAACAGGTAGACACTTGGTAGATGGTCCCAGGCTCCAGGCCTAGAAGTCAAACACCCACCTAAGACCGTCCATATCTCATAAAGCAGGGGTCTCCAACCTTGGCAACTTTACGACTTGTGGCGTTCAATTCCCAGAATTCCTCAGCCAGCATAGAATTCTGGGAGTTGAAGTCCGCAAGTCGTAAAGTTTCCACGGTTGGAGAGCCCTGTCGTAAAGGAAGGAGAACCAGCCCAAGAGACGGGCCCCAAATGGTTTTCGTTTGCTCTTCTGGGAGCTATCCAGGGTCCTGCAGCTTCTACCTGATATTTTACTTCCCTGACCCAGCTGAGGGATTCTCCAGCATTCCTTCCTTAGATATCACAAACTTAAAACAGGCAACATTTTGTTGCAAGGAATTTTTCTGGCATCCTGTCCTTTTTTTTATAACGCTGGTGTGGCTGTATCTAAATAGCTATATGCAGCCACACTCGTGGCATAGCAAATCTGAGCTTGGTTGTAGATGTTAGATAATACTTCAGTGGTGGGGTGCTGTTGATACTGATCATCAGGCACTGATGATGTTACCTAGTTGGGTCCTGAAATGTCTGCAAGCAAACAACCAGGGTCAGAGAGCACCAAGGACCCCCACCAGCACAACCCAAGCTTCAAACATTCTCTTCTGTTAGTGCATAGCACTTCATTTGCAGAATACCTTCAGATCCTTGTTTTATGCTCACAACACGGGAGCAGTTGACCAATTTGGGGATGTGCCATAAAGGTTATTCATATGGAGTGTGGATATCTAAACCGGATGAGGACATTCAAGGTTTTTAAAGGAATTGAGCATGTCTAATCTAGAGAAAAGAAGGACTAGGGGGGTGACATGATAGCAGCCTTCCAGTTTTTGAGGAGTGCCACAAAGAAGAGGGGGTTCACCTATTCTCTGAAGCACCAGAAGGCAGGAGAAGAAGCAATGGATGGAAACTAATCAAGGAGAGAAGCAACCAGGAACTGAGAAATTTCCTAACAGTGAGAACGATTAACCAGTCCAGAAGTTGTGGGTGCTCCCATCACTGGAGGTTTTTAAGAAGAGATTGGACAGCCATTTGTCTGAAATGGTATACAGTATCCTGTCTGAGCTGGGGGTTGGACTAAAAGACTCCCAAGGTCCCTTCCAATTCTGTTAAAGGGCATTTGAGAGTGCCTGTCAATGGACTTCAGACCCAGACACATTGAAAAGCCAGCGAGATGACAAATTATCCTTAATTTTCTCTCGGTTTAGGTCATCAGTTGTGAGGAGTTTAATAAGGAGCGAGTGACTTGCCAGCAGGGTGTGTGTGCGCCGAATGTCGATTGAGAGTTCATCCAATGTGAAAGCAACTCCCATAAACCTCCGCGCGCTAATAACTCATGTGTGCACCAGACTCGATGTGAATCCAAGACCAATATTGTTTTGTTCGCCTTTTGATCAGAGTCTCTTTTTTTTTACCCTCTTTGTTGATAGTTGAGTCCATTTGGAAATATTTTCCAGATCCTTCTGCAGATTGTTGTTGTTGTTGTTTTCCTTAAATACTGGCCTGGCAATTTTTATTTTTATATTTTCTTTTGAGCACGTGAAACAGTCATACAAAATCTGGCCCAGTGTCCTTCCTTATCTCTAATTAGGTCAGCTTCTGAATGGCAGGCTTGGGATGAACACACACACGCACGCACGCACACACACACACACAAAATATAATTGCTTAGTTCAAAGTATCCATAAAATTAACGCGGCCTGAATGAATTCAGACTTAATTTAACAGGCCACTGCTTCGGTTGTAACATGTGCCACGCCGTGGTGTTCCAAATTAGCCACGGAGGGCTTCCCTTTTCATTAAGGATTGGGGCTGAAGGCAGATGAAGCAGTTGGTTGTCCTAATGAGGAAATGTCACACAATTAAGGGAGCTGCACCCTCATTTCTGTATGAAGGCCAGCTTTTAAAAAAAGCCATTAAAAGGAAAACATTCACTGAGTTTTCGTTCTGTGGCCAAGAGAGACCTTTGGGAACTTCTGATTCAAAAGAGCTTGGCGGTGGATAGGTTCCATAAAAATTAAATTGTTGATTAAATGTCTTTTTTTTCCCCATGCAAATGTCTTTAAAGAGACACAGGATCTGGGGGACCCATGCTCCCCCAAAGTCCTTGGCTTGGCACTACAGAGTTCCTAAAATAGTTTCCAACTTGATGGAAGCAGATAATGGGGAAAAATAATGGCATTGATTAGATCGAAGGCAGCTTTTTGTTATGGCCTCTGATTTTCCAGAGTGTGATTCTCATCCGTTGCTCTCAGCTAAGTCTGTTTCTCAAACTGGAAAAGAAGAATCCTTTACTTGGACATTTGCACCTTAAGGGAATGCCACTAGAGCAGTGGTGGGGAACCTCTGCACTCAGAGCCCTCTCTGTGGGCAAGCGTGCCGTGCCCTGGAGATGGCGAGGGACTGGCCCCTGCTGCCCTGGCCCCGCCTACCCAGTCTGCCATGACCACTATGGCCATGCCCACCCAGCACCTGGTGATAAATAAGTGGGTTTTGGGTTGTAATTTGGGTACTGGGTCTCTAAAAGATTCGCCATCACTGCACTAGAGCATTGAAAGTTAGGATAAATGTTTCCTTAAGTTGCTGATTTTCTGTATTCAGGAACTTTTTGTATAAAAGACTGTTCTGCACAGATGGTTCTTTTGGGTCCTTGGTGTTCTCTAAACTTTTCTTATTTCCAAAGTAGGTAGCATCATCAGTGCTGGACGGGGGGGGGGGGTTCTCCTTTGTAGCACTGATGATGTTACCTAGTTGGATATTGAAATGTTTACAAGAAAACAACAACAAGAGCACCAAGGACCTTACAGTTGAACCCTGAGCTACAAATATTCTCTTCCATTTATTCTTTCTGGATTAAGTTCTACTTCCTCGTTTACAAAAATTAAATCTGGGGGCAGAACTAGTACAGTCATCTGAAAAACACACGGAAGGGCATGATTTGAAATGGGAAAGGTATAACCAAAATGATAACCCTGGGTTTTATGGCTTGACCTGAAATACTCTCCAACTTTAGAGGCCATAATTAGGTAGTTGACTGTGATGTGGGCAGAGAACAACAACTCCTGTCTATGGGGACTGATTTCCACTAACGCTTTACAGCAACAAATTCCTTAAGTTTAAACAGAAAGCAGCTTTGTGCAAAACACAGCACCAAGCAATTCCTGCTGGTTGAGAAAGCTGTTTTTTTTTTTTTTTAAATGAGGCTGAAACAACTAGGTAAGACGCCTATTGTAGTAAAGGTTTGAAGTTTCTACACCTCCCATTGTGTTGTTTTACTTGTCTCGGTGTGCTTTTATATGTAAAAGAAACATCGTTTTGCGAAGCGTGCTGAACAAGAACCAAGGGATTTTAATCACTGCTCGGATCATACAAGTGTGAAGCTATATAAATACCAGTGAGCAGCGGAGAAAATGAAAGGATTTTTTTTTTGTACCCACAAACACGCACGCACACACACAAATTCTACAGGGACCTGGATTCGCAATCTAAGCAAAACGGGGGTGGGGGAGAGAGACTTGAGATAGGGCTGGCGAGCTGGGATTTGAGACTGACATGTACGATCATGCCGGAACCAGCCCGTTAAAACAACACGCAAGGATGTTTACTCTGCAGGACTTTTCACAACATCTGCTGTTGATCCTCCACTTTTCCTGCAGACAGAGGTTGGCCTTTTTTCACTCTCGCGTGTAAATCCTCGTGCATACGACGTCATCGGCACCAAAGGTCTGCAAAGAGAAGAGAAGGAGAACGTGAAACCGGCAGAAGACTTTCTGACAGTCTCTCGTGGAGAAGACCACCACGGTTGGGGAGCACTTTGCCGGCTGAGACTAGAAAACCAACCTCCGCAGAAGGCACCAGCTTGGGGAGAAGCTGTTGACCCGCTTGGAGGCCTTTTACCTTGGTTCAAAAGTCTCTTAAAGAAACCCCTTCCATTCCCCACCATCCAGTCAGAACTGAAGAAGCTTCCTGGATGAGAAGCAAAACGTCTTCAAAGAAGAACAAAGTCTAGTTGCTTCCTGAAAAAGCACCTTTGGGTCTTTCTGCATCTGGACTTGATTCTTGGAAAGATGAGAGATCTTGGATTGCTGGAATGTACCTAGAACTTGAAGACCTCCAAAAACACCTGCCAAGATTTTGCCGAGTCTGGACACCTTCCATTTTCATATACAGATAGTCCTCAACTTCCCCCTGTTCATTTAGTGACCGTTCCAAGTTGCAGCAGCACTGGGGAAAAAATGACTTAGGACCGTTTTTCGCATGACCGTTGAAGCATCCCCACAGTCCCGTGATCCAAGTTCAGATGCTGGGCAACTTGATTTCCTATTTACGACGCTGGCAATGTCACACGATCCCCTTTTGCGACCTTGTGACACGCAAAGTCAATGTGGAAACCAGGTTCACTTTAACAACGCTGTTACTAACTGGAATAGCTGCCGTGATTCCCTCGCCCACTGTGGCAAGGAAGGACATCGAATGGGGCAAAATTCACAACTGTCTCAATTAGTGACAGGAATTTTGGGCTCAGCTGTGGTCGTAAGCCGGGGACTTACCTCGATTGCTCAGAGTTGGTTTCCGGATGCTTCCCCAGAACATGTAGATGCAGGATTCAAGCTAGGTTGGGCCCAAGAGATGCCTTAAGGGGGGGGGGAATGTTGGCATCGCTCTAGAGCAGGGGTAGGCAACCTTGGCTTTTTTATGACTCGTGGACTTCAACTCCTGCTGGCTCAGGAATTCTGGGAGTTGAAGTCCATGAGTCATAAAAGAGCCAAGGTTGCCTGCCCCTGCTCTAGATCAAAGACCTGTCAGAACTTTCAGATTTGATGTTTGAGTGTTTTCACCTGCGGCGCTCAGTTTGAGAGAAGGTTCATTGGTCTGCGTCCCACTATGACATGTGGACATTTGTGTGTGTCTGAGAGAGATCTAGAGAAGGGAGGAGGAGGACAAAACTGGCTTTCCTACTGATGGATGCTGGAGGCCCTTCCCTTATGAAAAATCGTTTAAAATATTCAGATGGAGGTCGAAATCTCCGTTGCAATTTTCTCCCGGTGGAACGGACTTAACGGGGGAGGGGGAATTAGAGGCTGACCCCTGTCACTTCCAAAGCACCTTTTTAAAAAATAAAATAAAAATGGGGTAAACGTGAGAATGCCATCTTTTTAATTCTTATCCTTGTCTGAACCTTGTCGCCAAACTCCAGGCTTGAATACAACAGAATGGAGCCGTCAAAATGCCCAGCCATGCTGTCAGCTGCCCTCCACCCAGTTTAAGCTTGGGGTGGTGGGGGTTGCTCAGGCCTCCTTAAAGCTCAAAACTCTTACCAGAATCAGCTCCTCTCCAGCCAGCTCTCTTGTCCAGTACGTTTTGGGGCCCTGGCCGTCCAGAAGCGTTTGCTTGCAGTAAAGCTTGTTTTCGTTCTCCCAAGTGGCCAAACTCTGCAAGAAAAGATTGTGCTTCGTGGGAGTGGGAAGTCAGATGTTAGGATAATGGTCGCAGTCCAGCAACAGGGAGAAACTGCTGGCGGCAACCCTTTCAACATCTGTATTGTTGAATTGGATGAATTTCCATCCCTGAAGCAGGCAGAGCAAAGCACCCTGGTTCAACTTCATGGGCAGCTCAGAATAGCCTAACCTCCAGTTAGGGCTGGGGCTGGGGGGGACTTAAAGGCTGAAACTCTGGAGAATCGAGAAAGAAAGAAAGAAAAATCTGCTGGTCAGATCTGGCAGTTGGGCAGATGTTTCTGCGTCTGAGGTTCCAGACCTCCCAGAATTGATGCTTACTTTTTCTCCGGGAAACATCCCAGACAGACTTTTATCATTAAATTAAAAAAAAACCCGAATTTAATGCCAAATTGCATCAGGCCAGATTCATCAAACAAGCCCAGCCAGAGAGAAAAGTTTGCCCTGTTGGATTCCTTCAGCCAAAGTGTTGGCTGGTGGTTCCATTTTGAGTTTGGGAAAATTGCTGCTCCGGGCGTCATAAGACAATTAAGGTTTTTGTGTTTTTTTTTGATTGAATGGATCATCGGATCAAGCCACAACCCACATGAAACTGGGTATAATTCTTCTGATAGTTTCCAGGAACATGACTTATTTCTCTTGTGGGTTCTTTGCATGCCACACCTTGTTTAACTCTGTTGTTTCCGCCTTCCCCATTCACTGTCTTCATCCATGACCCCCAATAATTCAATTTAATCATGATCTTTCTCTTTAAGTTGATGAACAGACAGCCTGTGGGGCACCCCATTCTCAGTCTTATCCCTGCCCGTTACTCTAAGGCAGTGTTTCTCAACGTTGACCCCTTTAAGATGGGTGGACTTCAACTCCCAGAATTCCCCAGCCAGCTCTAGTTCAACATTCCATTTCCCCAACTGCTTCCAAGAAGTGCAGGCAGAATGGCTTCTACTTCCAAGAAGGGTAGCAGAAGACCTGGGGGCAAAGCCTATTGCTTGTTTAGCTCAACAACTGTTATTCGCTGGTATATCACTTCTGAAAGAAGCCAGTTTGTGCAGTCATTGAGGCACTTCCTGGCTAGAAACTAGGAGCCGGTGAGTTCTAGTCCCAACTTAGGCAAAAAAAACAGCCGAGTGACCTTCAGCCAATGCCTCTATCTCACCCTAGGAAGAAGAAGACAAGGACCAACCACTTCCAAAATCTTCTCAAGAAGATTCTAGGGACTTGCCCAGTGAATCATGAGGAGCCAACGCTGACTCAAAAAGCAACGCTGGGTCATCATTACCAATTGGTTTGGTGGGAATGGGTGTCCTCGTTGAGGCAGAGAGAATTCCTGGTGATAACAAGGGTAAGAATAACAATGCCAGAGTTGGAAGGGACCTTGGAGGTCTTCTAGTCCAACTCTCTGCTTAGGTAGGAGACCCTATAGCATTTCAGTCAGATGGCTGTCCGATCTCTTAGAACTTCAAGAACACATATTCTTCAGGATCCAATCTTTCCCCATAAACAGGAATAGACATCCCTAAAAATCTTTCCCAAAGCCAAATCAAAGTTGCATGCTTAAAAAACAAAATGCTCTTCAACTGCCATGCTGGGCAGTTCTTTGGAAAACTGCCAATCTGAAAGGGACCTCTGAAGTGCAAATATGATACGACGGGCATGTTGGATGAGGCCGGAGGGGAAATCCCAAAGCACAACAAGGCCATTGGACAAGGATGTCCAGCGTCCTGATTCCCTGGATGCTTTATGGCAGGAAAGCAGTAGCAAAACTTTCCTGCACAAAATCCTGATTCATCAGTCCAGGGAATCCCAGCACAGCTCACGGAAGGTGAGTTGTTGTCTTTAGAAGATCCCCAATGAGGAAGCGAGAAAAATTTTGTGGCTCCGGTTTGCCCACAAAGAAGAGCAAACTTGTTTTTTGAAGAAATTAGTGCCCTGGTTTGTGGCTTGTGGGGAGAGCAAAATTCACCTAGTCTTCCCTATTTGGGATGTGTGTCTCTCTGCATCTATGTTTAAGGTGCACAAGAAAACATGCAGAAAAAACTTTTATGTGCCTTCCTAGCCTGTTGGTAATCTTGCTCTTTTTTTCCACTGGATTATGGATATCTTGCTACCTCCAAAGCTGAGGAGGCGGCAGGTTAGTGTCAGACACCATCGCAATGTGATGTCTGGGGCTAAATGGGGTCAACTCATCCCACCAAGTCTTTTCCCAGGCGTTTCTGCATGGTGGCGGCGTTTCCAGCACATTTTTTTTGGGGGGGGGGGGGAGGCATGCGGTCAAATTATCCAGCTTGACTTCAAGACCTTCTCCTAAGAAGAGGACAAGGGCCAAACCCTCCTGTGTTGTTCTCGAGAAGTTCCATGGAACTGATCTAGATCGGAGAACACATAGGATAGGGGTGTCCGATCTTGGCCACTTTTAAGACTTGGGGACTTCCAACTCCCAGGATTCCCCGGCCATTCCACAAGTCTTAAAAGTAGCCAAGGTCGGACACCTCTGCTTTAGGAGGACCGCTCATCCCCAGGGCGTGTGTCATCTTCTGGGATGTTGTGATCTTCCAGCCCCAAAGTTCAAGCTTGGAAAGAAGAAGCCCCCAAGACACACACACACCCCGCCTCTCTTGACTTCCCAACCTCAGAGGAAGCCAGCCTGATGGGTTGCCGTACCCTGCATTTCCTTCCGTCTACCGTCTCCTCATCAAAGCTCTCCCCCACTCTGAAGTTGATCTCGGTGGTCCGGACGGTGGTGGAGGTCTTGATGTAGAACTGGTCCCCGTCCTGGCGGATCTCCACGTGGGGCTTCGAGGCGGCGGCCACGGCCACTTTCCGCAGCATAGCATTCACTCCTGGGGAGACATTGGGGGGGGGGGACGACGAAGCGACAGGGTAGAGATTCCTTTCGGCGCCTGCATTGACCGGCCTTACCCAGAGGTCTAATTTCCAAGCAGCTCCCTTGTGCAAGAGGCACCCAGGGGGACCTGGGACCCCAAGAGCTGGCCAAAGGGCGAGGGGGGGGGATCTAAGCAGGTTTACTTGAGAGCAAGCGCCCCTCCCTTGGCCATAGGAGCCTGGGTTCCCCCCCCCTTCACGTCTAAATTCCCCTTTTCGGGGTAGAGAAGTGGGGGGGGGCATAGGAGTGCCAGGGAAGAGCAGCGCTCCGAGCCGGGACACCCTCGCTCCGAGAATTCCCCGAGCCCCCCCCCCCAGAAGAGACCTCTGGCCCCGTTCTCACGCGCCTTGGACCCGCTTCTGCCTCCTCCTCCTCCTCCCCATCGGCTCCAAGCGCGCTTCCTCTCGAAGAACCGGGGTGGCTGCCTCCGTCCTTCCCTCCCTCCCCGTTGACTCGTGAGTAAACCAACACGGCTTGCGGGGATGGGGGGGGACTTGGCGAGGTTTCTTGATGCCTAGCGCCTTGGAGAGCCTTATGACACCCGACCCTTCCTCGCTAGCATCCCTTTCCGCGCCTTACCCAAGACTTTCAGGAGTTCGTCGAAATTCTCGCTGCTTTTCATCTTCCAGGTGCCGGCGAAGTTGGGCATGGCTGGTGGAGGCGAGGCAGGTCCGGGATGGGACGGGGTGAGAGGCGAGCGAGGCAGCGGCGAGGCGAGGCGAGGCGCAGGAGCTCTGCCTCCGTCTGTCCCGCACCGCGAACTGGCCAAGGGACTCCTTTACCCCTCCCTCCTCCCTCTTCCTCCTCCTCCCCCCATCCATCCATCCATCTGCCTCTTTTCTATCCCCCCCCCCCTCCGCTCGGGGCACACAAGCGACGCCTCCGACCCCCCCCCCACACCCCATCATCCATCACCCACCCACGCGCCCCGCCAGCAGTGCCCTCCTTCCCCATCCCCATCCATCATCCCCTTCCCCATCATCCCCTACCCCATCATCCCGCCAGGCCAGCCACCGGCCGCCTGGGTCTTCCCCCAAAAGGAGATTCCCAGCCTTTCCTCCCAGCGCTCTCCCACCCCTCCACCCCCCATCACATTGTACCTCGCTTTGCAGCTGGGAGGCAGCTGGAAGATTCATGGACCGAGAAGGAGGTGATGACACGGGGAAGGGGGAGAAGCTCCCCTTTACTTACCCCTTCTGCCCAGCGCTGAATGGCGCAAGGATGCTGCTTTTGGGGGGTGTCTCCAAAGGGTGAGAGAAGGACGTGGGGTTTATCGAGGAACCTTCCCTGCCGCTCAGTCTCCCCTCCCTCCATTCCAGGGAGGATATTTGGGCCTGAATCTAGAATACAGAATGACCAAGATGGAAGGGACCTTGGAGGTCTTCTAGTCCAACCCCCTGCTCAAGCAGGAGACCTTCTACCATGTCAGACAAATGGCTGTCTAGTCTCTTCTTAAAAAACCTCCAGTGTTGGAGCATACACAACTTCTGGAGGCAGGTAGTTCCACTGGTTAATCGTTCTCACTGTCAGGAAGTTTCTCCTTAGTTCCTGGTTGCTTCTCTCCTTGATTAGTTTCCATCTGTTGCTTCTTGTCCTGCCTTCAGGCGCCTTGGAAAATAGATGGAACCCCCCCCCCCTTCTTTGTGGCAGTCCCTCAAAAACTAGAAGGCTGCTATCATGTCCCCCCTAGTCCTTCTTTTCACAACACTAGACATTCCCCAGCTCCTGCAGCCGTCCATCGTACACTTCAGCGCCCTGACACACCCCTGGATTTCGTCTTCCCCCGTCCTTTCTTGCTTTGATGGCCAGGCCATTTTTCCACCCAAGAGAGCCAAAACTGGGCTTGTAACTCAGCCACAGAAAGGCTGGAGGTTTCAAAGAAAGCAGAGAATGCTGAACCAAGAAGAGAAATTGTTTCTCTCTTCTGTGCTTGCTCTGGTTCCTTGTGCAGGACCCTGGTTGGAGCTGGTCCTGGTGTAGAGAACATCACCGCCACCCTGCCTCAAACTGCAGACCTGGAAAGGAGAGGGGAGGGGAGGGAAAAAGGAGAGGAGAGGGGAGGGGAGGGGAGGGGAAAAGGAAAGGAGAGGAAGAGAGGGAAAAGGAGAGAAGGGGAGAGAAGGGGAGGGAAGGAGAGGAGAGGAGAAGGGGAAAGGGAAAGGAAAGGAAAGGAAAGGAAAGGAAAGGAAAGGAAGAAAAATCAGGCCAAGATTTCCCCTCTCCTCCATCCAGGTGCCCTCACCCCCCCAACCACCTGTGTCCCCCAAGAGGCCATTTTCAAGAAAATAAAATTCATCCCCATGGCCTCCAAACCGGACTCTGCTTTTTATTTATTTTATTTATTAAACCAGTTTATATCGCCGCCCAACTCCCACATGGGTGACACCGGATGGCTTACAATACTCGAGACCCAGAGCCGTGTGTCTTTGTCCGTGTCTCCCTGCGTGTGTCTTCAGCAGTTCTTTTATTTCACCTGAACCCCGGTGTCCACCACCCCATCCCACCCCTCCCGCTGGCCCTCCTTTCTTCCCTACAGATGGATCTCATCCATCTTTTTTTGGCAAGGCCTTGCAAGACAAAAGGGCCGGGTCACTCAATCATCCCTCCCTAATGGCTCTCCAAGGGTCCCCCAGCGTTTATTGACCGAGGACTAAGGACGGTGGAGTCAGGAGAGATCACCGGGAGGGGGTGCGAATTAGGAAGGTGTTGGCCAAGAAAGGGACGGGCGGGGAATAAATCGAAAGTTGGAGCAGGAGGAGAAAGTAATAAATGGCCTGTGACACAGATAAATTATCCATCTGGAAGGCAGGAAGGCGGTCGTAAATTTAGCTGCCAAATTAAATTGACAGCGGGGCTCCCCACGACTGACAATCGGGGAAATGTAATCTGACGGATGCAACCGAAGAAGCATTTGGGCACTTCTGCCCTGCTGCCCATTGTGCACGAGGCACTCATTAAAACGACACTGTTGTGTGTTGCGTTTGGCACCTGGAGCAGCAGCAGCCAGAAATGGACCTTGTAAAAAAATGCTAACAAAAGCCACTTCTTTGGGGGGGGGTCGGTGTTTCCTCCTCTTTCCAATGTCTTGGAATATCTGTACATGTTCCCAATGGCAAAACTAACACGAGTGTCTGTTTTGACCACAAATGGTCAAAACGTTCAAGATGACAGCCCCCCCCCCCCGTACAGCGAAAGCCCTGTCTGGTTTTTATGGGCACTGTAATTATTTCGATTTATTAAAATTGATCTCCCCGATTGGGCAGTATGGACCTTTGTGGCTGCCAATATGTTTCCACCAGACCGAATGGACATCTCCCAGTGCACAAATCGTGTTTGTTATGGAGTATGTTTAATGCAGAGAAACCCTGGCTTGCTAACATGGCAAGAGTTGGCTTGTTGAGCGCATCAGCTCCAGGGCAATTATCCATCTCTGATCCAGAGTTCTTCTCCCGGCTCTGGGATCCAAGCCCCACCCCTTCCCATGTGACGTATGTAAAAGAGGTGGAGCTTTGAGCATGCGGTAACAGACATCTTGACTTTTGTGACTCTCACTGGCTGTCCCTGCTCTTATTGGACCAGAATGGAGAACTCTGCAGCTCTGGAGGGATAGCAATGGTAACTGGACGCCTTCACAGATGATGATCTCCCTGGGATGAAGCTGAGATGCTGACTTTAGATTTAGTTGAATTAATTAGACTGCGGACAGGAGGAATTCTGGGAGTTGAAGTCCACCCATCTTCCTGAGATTCAGAAACACTGCATTAGAAGAAGCTGGGAGAGCAGACAAGCCTGAATCCATTCTAAGATACCTCTTTTTTTTTTTTTCTTAAATCCAAAACAGCAATGTTTTAATCAAAACATTCATCAAGTTTATCGCTTTAATAGCTGGCCTTGCAGCTCAAGAATTTCTTAAAGATATTTTTTTTAACCTGCTGCTTAGATAATACGATGCAAATAATTATTAAAGCTGGATGTCTATGGAGATTCTCAGTCATCCAGGTCATGATAGTCCCAGAGGTGCTTTTGCAAATTCTTGCAAAAGGCAACTGGACGTTCTTGTTTTTTTTCCTTTGAAGTTCTGAAAAAGCTTCTTGGATGAGACGCGAAATGTTTTCAAGGGGAAAAAAACAAAGTCCAGTTGCCCTTTGGAAAAAGCACCTTTGGGACAATCAAAGCTGAACCGAACTGTTTGCAAATGAGCCTTTTTTTCCACATCTCCAACAGATTTTTTTTAAAAAAGCCACTTTTGGTTGACTGCTGGCCATCCTCATCTTCCATAAAACAGCAGCTCCATATGCCAAATGAGCTTCTTTGTCTCAGCTCCCTAAATGAGATTTGTTCGTGAAAGGTTAGCCCATCTTCCTGTCCTAATGAGAAACCTCATCAGCCAATTATCTCAATTATTGCACATTAGGAAAGATCTTGACTTCTCCCCAAGGGACAAAGGAATGCTTCTTTAAAACCTCCAACTAACTCAAGACGAGTTAAAAGCCTATCAAAATTATATTTGCATCAACCTCAGGGTTCAATATGTAATTGGACAGTTCAGTTCTGCGAGACAAAATTTAGCTGCCCTTCAAGGGGCTCCAGATTTATTTTTTTAATTGGATGAATAATCTGACAGCAGTCAAAATAATAGGCTGATAAGGCTGCATTGATGCATTGAAAGAGAGATTACGTGATAAAAAGGTGATTTTTGCCACGTAAGTCAGAATCGAGGCTCAATAAGAAACTCAACAGGAGCATCACAACGGTTAAAGGAAAGATCTGATGGCTATCACAATCTCTTAATCCAAGATTTGTGCTATCAGCTCCAATCCCAAATTGTCAACCTGCTAAAGAATGTGAGAAATAACCTTTCTTCTCATGGTGTTTCAGAAATATATGTTTGGTTCTGCCACATCTATGCCCACCATCTAACCTAAAAGAAAGCGGGCTATTTAATTCAGATCCACAGAGGATGCTGAGGCTGGCAAATTAAACTCAAAGGATGAATAGACCAAAGATTTGTGAATTGAGGAAGCTTTGTACGCTAATGGGGCACAGGGGGAGGAAAGATACTTCATTTTATTCAAACATTAATAGGTTGCTCTTCTGTTTCTTTTGTCAGTGAGATTTGCTGAAGAATGGAACTCCAAGCCTTTATGATGTTGTTTTTTAAAATTTCCTTTTTCTCCAGCTGGTCCCAACCAGGTTTATGAGCCATATCAAAGGCAGTTTGGAAAAGACGTGACTGTTCCAGGATGCGCCCACGGGCTCCTTCGAGTCTCTTCTATTTCCCCCCAGGAAGAATCTGCCAGGCTGACTCAGGCAGAGCAGAATGGAAACTGAAGACATCTGGCTGAGGGGCTGCAGATGTGGGGCAGAAGGGATCCAGAGGTGCAAATCCCAGTTAGGGTTTTTCCTGAAGAGAAGAGCAGGCCTGGGGGCAGAAGCTGGGCTCGCTCCAGGGGGGCAGCAGAAGCCCCTGAAAAGCCAAGAAAGCTACTATTGCAGGGAGTCTCGTCTTATGACGATAACGGAGCCCATCCTTGCTCTCCTTCTCTCCCGGCCGCGAGGAGGGAAGGGGGTCCTAAGAATGGGGTGCAAAGGTGGGGGGAGCGGGTCCTTGCGGGGGAGTCCTCTCTTTCAGCAGGGCGGGGGGAGAGCTCCGAGACCTTGCAAGCTGCCCCTCCCAGAACGGGGCGCTTGGCTGGGCTTCCAGTCGGGAAAATCCAAAAAACACCGACTTCGGATGAGTCAAGATGCAGGAAAGCAAAAGGGGTGTGCAAGCAGGGGACCCACGCGTGTGCATGCACGCCCCTGCACACGCCTGCATTGGGACCGCAATGCAATTCCCGGGTTGCAAGACCTGCAGAGTCGTTCGGGCGCCCCCCTGGCAAGGGAGGGGGGCTGAGAAATGCTTCCTGGATCCCCCCCCCTCCCCTGCTCAGCCGGCGATTCCGAGGAATCCGCCGAACGCCCCGCGATCCAGGCGCCAAAGTGAGCCGGACCTGCGCTTCCCTGCCGCGCCGCCGAGGGGCAGCAGAGCGTGCTTCGCGAGCTGCCGCCGCCGCCCGCCGTTCTGGCCGCCATCTCGGTGGCGAGGCGTGTCGTCATCAGCGAGCGCCTCAAGCGCTGGGCGGCGACGGGCAGCCCCGGCGGGTGAGTTGCTGGGGCCGCCGACCGAGGGGAGAAGAAGGGGAGGGGGCGTCAGTCTCCATAGCAACCCCCTCTTGCCCCCCACATCTGGGCTCTTCCGCCTGCCCCCCCCGCTCCATATCTGGGCTTGTTGCCTTTTAATCATGGCTGCTGTATATAATGTATGTGCTTATTTGTGGTTTTTACTTGTGTATAGTGTGTAGCACTTAATTTCGTTGTGAGTTACACAATGACAATAAAAAATATTTTATTCTATTCTATATTCTATTCCATTCCAATTCCATTCCATTCCATTCTATTCTATTTCTCATTTTATCTTTTTCAATGGTGACTTTGAATTGAACGGATAATTGATGGCATATTTAATGGAACGTATTTTTTTCTCTCTTCAGCAGTTTCTTATCCTTCCAGAGCTTTGATGCACACAATCGGTTTGTGAGAGGAAAAAAAATAATAAAAAAATGACAACTCAGGTAAGTAGACATCATCGCCCGGCTTTGCAATTTGACATTTGTCACTTTTTTTATATAAAAAGAGGATTGAACGGTTGATTTGTTCGTGTTTTTTTCCTCTCCCTTTCAGTATAGTATTCTCTTCAAGCAAGAACAAGGTAAGGAAATTCTGTGTTGTTTGTTTGCTTTTGAAGGAGTTGCCTTGTGGTAAGATGGGCGGCTGCTAAGTTTAATAAAAATAAAATAAAATGAAAAATATGGTGGCGTGCTCAGGAATCCACAGGTCATGGATGAAACAAGGATATCTCTTGCTTTTAAAAAGTATATATTCATTTTATTTATTAAGAACTGCCCAGCTTGCTTACTGTGAGTCTGGGCGGCTTACAGCAATCAAACCACAATAAAACCTCAATACAAACCTCAATAGCCCTCCACCTCCCTGGCAACAACAATTAAACTAACCACTTGATGGGGTCCGTAACACCCTGGGGTCCTCAGACCTGGCAAATTTATGTCTTCAGGGCCTTTCAAGCCTATCGAGGGGGCCAATCTTATCTTCATGGGGATGATGTTCCATAGGGAGGGAGCCACCACGGAGAAGGCCCTTCTTCTTGATCCCTCCAGATGGACTTCTTTAAGAGAAGGGACCCTTAACATGTGGGCAGGGTCAAGCCAGATTTGCTTTCCACAGGTAGAAGGTGTGGTTCACCAGACTAGCTGGGCGATGACTGGGGAAGGGTCAGGATCCCCAAAGAATCGAATCATCAAAGCCTGGAATTCCCTTGTGGAGGGTTTTTCAAGTTTCTTGTTGGTGAGGCTGGCTTTGCTCAGTAGAA